GGGGGGGGTTTGGGGCCCCTCGTCTCAGGTACCCCCCACATCTCACCTTCCCACAGCCCGGCACCTCCACCCCGTCCACGGGCCGCGGGATCTCGATGGATTTGGGGATCCCTGACCCCATAACCCCCTTATCCTCCACATTCTCACCTTCCCACACCTTCCCAGTGTCCCTGACCCCATTCCTGATATCCCTGACCCCAGATTCCCATTTTCTCACCTTCCCACAGCCCGGCACCTCCACCCCGTCCACGGGCCGCGGGATCCCAATGGATTTGGGGTCCCTCCAGCCCCAAATCTCCCACATCTCACCTTCCCACACCCCAGCACCTCCACTCCATCCACGGGCCGGGGGATCCCAATGGATTTGGGGGTCCCTGACCCCATAACCCCCTTATCCTCCACATTCTCACCTTCCCACACCCCGGCACCTCCACCCCATCCACAAGCCGTGAGACTTTGATAGATTTGATGATCTCTGACCCCATTCCCAGTGTCCCTGACCCCATTCCCAACATCCCTGACCCCATATTCCCATTTTCTCACCTTCCCACAGCCCGGCACCTCAACTCCGTCCTCGGGCCATGGGATCCCGATGGATTTTGGGATCCCTCAGCCCCATAACCCCATAACCCCTGTGTCCCTGACCCCATTCCCGATATCCCTGACCCCACATCTCCCACATCTCACCTTCCCACAGCCCGGCACCTCCACCCCGTCCACGGGCCGCGGGATCTCGATGGATTTGACCGTCCCGTACTTCCCGCACTCGTCCCTGACGTCCTCGACGATCTCCTCGTACTCCTCGTCGTCCAGCAGCTCCTCGGGCAGCACCATGTTGAGCAGGCACAGAACCTCCGTGGGGTGACCCCCCATCTGCACCTGGGAGCTCATCAGCCCCGGAACCTGCAGCGTCACCGGGGTCTGGTTGATGGTGCTCTGGGGGGGACACAAAATGGGGGGTTAGGGGGCTTTGGGGAGGTTTGGGGGGGACGGAGAGCACCGAGACTAAAAGGGGGGAGATAGAGACCCCTGATCCCAAAAGGGGGGATAGAGAGACTCCCAACCCTAAAAGGGGGGATAGAGAGACTCCCAACCCTAAAAGGGGATACAGAGACCCCTGACCCCAAAAGGG